AGTACTCCTCTAGCACATGGAAGCTGTATTTAAAATACAGTGATGATTTAAATTTGGCAGGAAAATCCTTAGCCGCTAAATTTTGCCAAGCCTTCTGAGGGATTTCTTGCTGGTATTTTCAGCAAATGACTTGGGAAAATGAATCCTTTAGGGGTTAGAATTTTACTGGAGGCTGTTTTCATTATGTCTTTCTCACTTACCTAGAAATTTATCAGAATAGTGTGAGTTTGCTTGAAGCCCAACCTTAGAGCCTAAGGTATTCAGGTATTCTCGAAAACAGAAATGCACAGTATCCTGTTTCAAATGTTGCAAGAAGAATTAACAGGATTAGAATGGCTTAGATGATTATAAATAAATAAATGTTTTGGGGGGGAAAGGTGGGGGAAAGTGCAATATTGATGTTGGCCCTGAGAATTGCAGCAGAAACTAAAAAAAAAAAAAAAAAAAAAAAAATTTTAAAAAAAAAAAATAAAAATTTTCCATTTCACCTCCCTAGAGACTTGGGGGTATGTGTTTTTCTTGGGAAGTTATCTCCCTCACCTGAGATTTCATATCCAAGGAGAGTGGAGTGAAAAGTCCTGGTGGATGCTGGATGGTTCCATATTCATACACATATATATATTTGAGCCCAGCTGAGCTGTTCACAAAGCTCTTAATGGTCCATCCAAATTGTAAAAGTTTGCTGACCCCACAACTGACTTAAAGATAGTTTCGAGATTCTTCACTATGAGAACTTAAAACCTTAAAGATTTGCCACAATACTTTCTCCTTTTAAAAAGACAAGTATTTTGAATGTGTCTGATTTCTTGTTTTCCATGGGATTTTTTTTTTTTAGATAAGGCCATTGAAATGTCCAGGTGAGAGCATAAAAATGGTTGAAGTAGATCAAGAGTTGTTAAAATGTCTAGTTTGTTGTATTGATTTGTGATTTAGCACTTCATCTTTCCAATTCTTTGAATGTCAAAGTACACTTACATAGTATGGGTTTTTTGTCTAACATGTCTTATTCTCAAGACACGATTTTTCTTTTAATTGTCATTTTGTTTATGAAGTCAGAATACCTACACAGAGCCATGTAGTGATTTATTCAGTGAGAAAAGGATTTTCATGTATGATTACCTCCTCTTTATTTGTGCATTTATGAATCCTTTTTTCCAGAAATTCTTATATAGCTGCTACTGCTGCTCAAATTGCCATGGTTTTTAAAGAGAATAATGCTTATTGATAGTTCCCACATGCACTGGCAGGCACATCTAAAACCTGTACTTTTGTGTTCACAGCTTGCATAATATAAAATTTAGAGATTGCTTGTCAAACCAAGTGTCAGCTGGGTTTCCTAGGAAACTCACTGAAGATATTTATAAAACTACCGATCAGCTTAATAATAGATATAATAATGTCAGTACCTCATGATTTTTTTTAACTTTATCAGTCCATTTTAGTTTGCTTTAATTTGTTGCTAAACCAAACCACTGCATTTCCGAACAGAGCAGAAAAGACCTTCCTTCCAATACCTTGCCTAATTAATTGCTTAAGAAAAGGGCAGTTTTTGCTATTCCATGTAAAGAAATATAAAACACCCTATGTAAAATTTAAAAGAACATAAATGTCATACTACTTATCTGACTGAATCCTTTACAAGTAAAACCACAATTGTGAGATAGAAGTGTAAATAATGTATCATGTTATTGTTTATTTACTGTTGAATTGGATGTGTGAATTTTTTCATGGTACATGCGTACAAAACAGCCGCTGCTGAACTAACATAAATCCTGAGTATGGGTTTCTGTAGAACCTACATAAATAGAAGGCCTGTCAGTATTGTAAAAAGGCATGATTCTGTGAAAATAATTACATCCCTGAACGGGGAGAAAAAACAACAACAACACAAAAACCCTTGATCTAAAAAGATAGTGAGTGATACTTGGTGTCCATTTTTATTCCTTCTTCTGTTATTATGTTTTCCTCACACTGATTCTTTGAGTTGGGACATCGGCATTGCCACAGTTGTGAGATTTTTTTTTTTGAATTTAAGCTCTCTAAATGAAAATTTCCATAATGTAAATTCAAAATTTGCTGATCTGTAAATATATATATATGTATGTGTATAAAATAATCTATATTTTGTCAGGATATAATTAATCATGACAATTAGGATTAAGTGAAGTTAACATTCTCTAGAAAGCAGTTTAGAAAAGTAATTCCAGTTTTTCCATTTTAATATGGCAATGAGAATGAAGTTAGTGTGTTTAGAAATGAGGCAGTACTGACTCCTTATCTCATCTGGAATCCATTTCTTGTACCCAGTATGCCTGTCAGGACTATTTTTTGATGCTGTGCTAATTAGCCAAGTAAGGAGTTCATATAAAGGCTATTCAAGAGCTGATTTTCTTTTGAAAAGGTAGGAGTATAGCTGTCTGTGTTTCACTGTCTTAGAAATCTCATTGCACACTTAACAATGTCATTGCAGAAGTAATCTTAGGAAGCCTGTCCATCACACACTGGAAAGGTTAATTTCCTATAGAGCTACAAAATTTATCCCAATCCTAATAGTAGTTGCATGTGGATTTACTGGTTTCTATTGTTTCCTTTCCAGCTTGTTACAGCAAGGTGGCAGATAAGACCTTGTAAATCATTGCATTTATTTTAATGCAGCTTACATGCAGACAGCAACCTTACAAGCATAAAATGGTACAGCTGCTGTGTCAAACGATCTTTTTCAAGGACATGGTATTTGTCAGAGCTGGCTCTCTCTTAGCTGTGGTGTTGCAGTGTAGGGTATTCAAAACTGGTCTTTCTGCTGGGAGGAAGTGGAAGATGACTTTAGTTCATAGGTAGGACATATAATTAGGAGATTTACCTCTTTCCCAACCTGCCATGGATTGTGCATAACATGACTGCATTACTCCTCACTCCTCTGTTCCTTATCGTAATTTTCCTTTTTGAAACGTGCAAAAACCTCCCTTAAGTACTTGTTGTATAGGTGAGAAAGATGCAAGTTAGCACTTAATACTGTGTTGAACTATTTTGGATAAATTCTGCCAAAATACTCCTGGTGTTGTGGAGACAAAGATGTATTGTCTCTGATTTATACACCAACTTCACAAGACATGTTTCTGCAAATAAAGCAAATTCACGCTGTCTTGTAAGGTTTGTGATGGAGTTATATTTGTGCACCAGCACTGATTTCAGTCCACACTCTTAAGAAGATCCCTTTCTGTGTCAGCCATAGTCTGTACTTTGGAACAGGCTTTGAAGAACAGCCATGTTAAGGAAAATTACTCAGATCAGGACATTTCAGCCTGGAGGCATTTTTGCTTTGGGTTTTTTTGCCTTCCCTTTTCACGTTCTGTGCTGCAAGCATGAAGTGAGAGTTCTCTCGGTAAGAGGAGTGTCACTTCAAAATGCATCTCTCTGCTCCAGGGATAGCTGAAGTTAAACTTTGCTCTGTCAAGGTGATAAAAATCGTCTGACGAAAAGGTTCAGCCTGAATACAACTGTTTTCCCATGGTGACTGTAGCTGACTGTACAAATGTACTTTTATATCCTTACATAAATGTATAGGGCTTTTGGCAAGGAAGGAGGATTTGTGAAAAGATCCTTTTTCTTCGGATTTTCCTCTATATAGTTTTGCAACAGGCATCTATTGGGTTATGCTAAACAATGATTATTGTTTTTAAAACCCTGTGCTTAGCCATCATACCATGATCATCCAGAAAGAAATGCTGGATATTCTGACTGTAGATACTGCATTTTGTTTTCCTGCTACAACAATGGAGGTTTGAAAAGGAAAAATATTATAAGTAAATACATATGCAGTGTATTTTCTTTTCCTTTCTGTTCATATCCGTGGGAAACTGCTATGAGAATTACAAACAGCTTTTAGGGGGCTATTTTTTCAACTAGCCAGTGTGTGTGACCCCTGTGTTAGCAGTGAGTTACATTTTAAGTCAAGAGTTCACTGTTTTTTTCTTTCTTTCCCACTGCAATTAAGTGGGACATGTATTTCATGTGCACACTCAAGTAAAATTGGGGAAAACTTGCCTTTTGATAAAGAAATCTTGATAATATTGTCGTGGGATGTGTCAGCCAATGGGATATTCACTGCCAAATACCAAATAACAATGTAGAAATTCAAGAAAGCTTCCAAGTCATACAGGCAGTCTGAGGAAAGTGAGCCAGCTGGGCTCACAGGAGATCTAAGGAATGGGTGGAAGTGAGAGAGTAGAACCTGTCTGTTTTAGCAATAATTATAAAATCATATTTTTATGTCCTCCCTGCATTTTAAGTGCTGCTATTCTAACACATATTAGGAAAAAATTAAAGCTTGAAAAATCGTTTAAATAATCATAGAATGTAGTTTCCCCCTGGTTTTCTGGTTCTCTTTTCTCTTGTAATTCCCTGCAGCTCTTTCTTTCAGTCTGTGCGTGTCTCTGAGTTTCGGTGAAATAAAGAATCAGAATTCCTTAACCTCCACTTTTTGTGCTTTAATTGCAGTGTTGGAGGACACGAAGTCAGTCCAAAACTTTTTGTATATACCAAGAAGCATTTCTGCTGAAGTTACTGAGACCATAAATACATAAAATTATATTTGATCAGCATTATGCTAAATAAAAACACCCCTTCACCACATTTTCTGTATTAAATCCCAAACTCTTTTTTAAGTCTCAATAACCATATGATGTTAGGATGTGTGGTTAGTTGTAGTATTTTTTAGTGGGCCTCACAAAATTGTAACATTTTAACTGCATTTTGAACCACTTGTGAGTAGTGCAGAATGGTAACTTTACAAGTGCTGTATTGAAACAAAGTCTGGGTAAAATGGTTTTTTGGCTTATAAAATGTAACCTTGAGCAATATAAGGAAGTAATCAGGTTCCTAACTTTACTATTCAAGTTGTGTTTTGCATCTCAGCAGGAGTGTAAACTAGAAAAGGTGGTGAAATGTCTTCTACTAGACAGTATTTTATATATCTAAGTGCGTGTTTATTTTTCTTCTAGCTTTTTGGAAAGAATTGACAGCGTCAGCATGGATGACTACACACCCACAGATCAGGTTAGTAAAAGTAATGGGGCAGGGTCTGAACTAAGACTGATGTTCATCTGGATTTTCTGTGTAATTTATTTTAGTCCCTACTGCAGCTGAAATAGGGCATATGGCAGAATAGCAAAATATGGTCTAGCAGTTTGAGTAATGGGTATTAAAGAAGAGGCATTTTGGTGGTGCAGACTTGTTTTTTACTGTCATAACATCTAGGTCAGTAGATTGCTGTAATACATCAGTTTTATCTTCTTGCTTCCCTTTCTGTGTCCCACAAAAGAAAGGTGAATGGAAAAAAGAATAGGAAGCATTAATGTGAAAGTTATGGTTTTCCTCACCAGCCTTTTCTACAGAGAAGCAATGCTTTATTTCAGTGGTGGAGGTGATCCCAGAGGGAGACTTCCCATGTCTATGAGAAGGGTCCCTCAGGGGCAAAAGCTTGCAGAAAATAAGGTGTCCAGGTTCAGGGGAGAGCAGCAGTGGCAGCAGCAGAACTTGCAAACTTCTCTGCGGGCCTGCAAATTCCTTCTTTGCAGTCTGTGCCCATCTCCTGCGAGTGACAGAGTTTCTGTTTAAGCCTTCTTTGCAAGACAGTACATTTTTTTCCCAGATGCTGTGATACCTCTTGATGGAGTGCTCTAAATGACAAACACATTCCTGTTAAGGCTGAACTGGTGCAGCCTTGAAGTAAGGAGGGGTTTCACCATGTTGCCTGGCTTCAGGTGCCTTCCCTGAGCTCAGGCTGTGTGCTTTCCTTTGCCGTCTCTTCAGCAAATATTCTGAAGTTGTTATTTTTCAGTACTGCTATCCCACTGTCATTTAGCAGTCTCAGCCAAGATTGTGGGCCACGTCATAAACTCCAAATACAAGTGGCAGAAGAGAATCCCTGCACTGAATAATTCAGTCTAACCATGCAAGGCAAATAACAAGTGGATGGATGCTTTTAAAATCTCACTGTGCAATCAGGGAGTGAAATTCAGGGAAATTAGGTGACTTGCTAGAGATCACCCAAGGAAGCATTCAGAGAAGAGCCTGTTCCTTCAGACCTAGTTTAGGTCCATAACCACAAGCATGTCCTATAGTCGACCCAATATGGGATCAATTATTCAAGCACTCAAGACATTTTCAGACCAAAGCAATTTGCTCCATTTAGACCTCATGGTTTTAGCATCGAGATCACCCACCTGGAGATAGAAGTCTCATTTGTGAAGAAAAGTGAAGAAAAGTCTCATTTTTGCTTTCATTATTTATGTTAGTGTTGGCCTGTTTATTCCTGGAAAGCCCTTCTCTACCTGAAGTAGTGTTTCATCACCTAGGAATTTTTCCCAATATTTCCTTTGGGGAGAAATGTCTTGAAAGATCAGAAAAGGCCCTTGGTATTTGGCAGGTGGAAAGCTTTTGCTCTGAGGGGGGGATTCTCTTTTGCTTTTGATTTCATCGTGTTACACTGTTATCAGCTACCTTGCCGAATTAACTGGTAAAAATCACTTATTTCTTCTCTTCCTTTGCTTTCTGGTTTTTGGGTGTGGTTTTTTTGCACCGTAACAATGTCAGCAAGTGACAGAAAATGACAGTAACGGATAAAATAACTAAAAGTATTGAATAAGTGGCCTTGAGCTGAGTGCATGCAGCTGTCAAAGCAGCCAAGGTTTGCCTTGGCTACCAGAAGCGGTAGATGGTATGGCAGGGAAAAAAGACAAGGTGTGCTTGCACTCTGCACTACTGACTGCCTCCTTCCATCCAGGAACGGGGCATCATAAATTGCTTTTGCCTAGTCCCCTTGAGAATTGAGAAAATAACTATTTTTTTAATTATTAAAGGAGAGTTGGTTAAGTTGTAAAGTATTGCTGGTTTAAAAAATAGGAAAGAAATTCCATATTTCTGCACGACCTGAATTCTGTTCCCTTGTGCTCTGTTAACAGAGCTTTAATTACTCAGTCACAGGCTATTATTTCGATAGGGTTCCTGTCTCATTCAGTACAAAAGAGGGCAGAGTTAAGGTTGCCTGGGCAACTGTAAATCTGGAGTTTTCTAATATTTGAATACTTGACTTTACAACATGAATAACATTTTTCTTAGTTTTATGTAACTTCAGATTTCATTATTGTCATCACATACCAATGTGTGTGACCATCAAGACCAGGTGGTCAGCAAGGAGAACATAGATGGGGTCTCCTGCATTCTGAGTGCACAAACCAAATGCAGTGATCATGATCAAGTTTATCTACCATGTCATCGCAGACAAATGCCGATTTACCAACAAGTCTGATTAAACTTTCGTTAAATGAAACATTTAAGATTTTTCACGGAAAATAATATTCCAAGCTTTTAAAAACAAAATTAGGTTAGAAAAAAGCCTTACTAATCAGCTTTGTTCTTATTTCCAGGACCTACTAAGATGCAGAGTGTTGACATCAGGGATTTTTGAAACAAGATTTCAAGTAGATAAAGTAAATTTCCAGTAAGTCCGTTAGTAATGATTTATGAATATCATACTCATTTTTAGCAGCTTCATTCAGATGTATGTGCTCATGTATGCATGGTATAGCAGGTTTAGGGTGGGGGTAGATGGTTTTTAGTTGTTTGATTTGGCTTTTTAGCTCTCTTTCCAGAGGTTCTAGTAAAATTACCTCATACTTTGCAAAAAGAGCTTTCATTAGTTATGTATATTAGCAGTGTTCTATAGTAGGGTTGTGTGTGGCTGCTTGAAAAACTGGTGCATTGGTATAGCACTGTAAAATCATAAAATACCTTTGGGGATGAGAGCTCACAAAAGTCAGTGGCAATCCTCCCTTCTTCCACAGGTCTGCAAGCCTGTGTTTGTCAAAGTTTTTTGCTGTATCTGTAAAACATCCACAGTCAGACTGGCTTTTCTCTCCAGTTCTTGCCCAGAAAGGTGGGAGTGCTGCCAGGGCCGAGCTGCCTCATGTCCTCCTCCATACAGAGATGCCCTCTCCCCACCACCCTTCAAAATATCCTGAAACCTGTACTTGTTTGTGGTATTACATGACATATGCACTTCTATGGACTGGAAAGGCCAACACTTGTCCTTGAAGAGTGTATTTCTCATTTTATGGTTTCGCTAGCCTTCTCCTGGCAGAGCAGGGCAGGTGGAGCAGTGCAGCTGTCTCTGACCTGCAGCGCAGCATCAGCAGATCTCTCTCCTCTTCAGGCAATATTTTACTGCCCCTGTCCTTGGGGTTGTCAGATTCTTAAACTGAACCCTCTTGCTGTGCATGCTTCGTGTGACTTTTCCCTAGTGCACATAAGTGATATAACATCCTATGGCTTTTTAACAGCATGTTTGATGTAGGTGGCCAGAGAGATGAGAGAAGAAAATGGATCCAATGTTTTAATGGTAAGTAAAAACATTCTATGTTTTATTTTTGAACTTAATCCCTGAGATGTGAGCAGTTTAGTGTTCATATCCAACACCCAGTACCTCACTAGTACAGTAGTCCAGTGTTACAGATAACTTTTTTCTGCTATTTTTGGCTGATTGGTGAATAATAGCACTGTTACCCTGAGGAGTATGTGCTGGGATAACAGAGATGTTCTGTTCTCTCTCCTTTCTTTCCTTCTTTCTTTTGTGTGTTCTGCCCAGATGTCACAGCTATCATCTTCGTTGTGGCTTGCAGCAGCTACAACATGGTAATAAGGGAAGACAACAACACAAACAGACTACGGGAATCCCTGGACCTTTTCAAAAGCATCTGGAATAATAGGTAAAACAAACCTCATTTCCTGTCCATCCTCCCCAGTTTAATTACAGTTCAACTCCTTTTAAAATAGGACGCCTCTTGCTATAGGCTCAAATTGTTTCTTCAGAAAATACCCAGGTTGGGCCAGGTCTCAGAGTGTCCCCATGGGTGACACCCTTCCCTGGTAGGGACCATGGCAAAGGGACAGCACACGTGGCGTTTCACCACTCCTGCCAAAATGATTCAGGGCATGGGAACAGCTTGGAAAGGGCAAGCTCCCCAGGCTGGCTGCTGCAAGGGAGGCAGGGGAGACCCTCTGCTGGTTGGCTGAGTTCTCTGAGGAGCATTTGATCTCAAACAGAGCAGCAGGAGCAGCTCACTGTGCTTATTCCTTATGTGAGCAGCTGCTCTCATGAAGGTCATCTCTGAGAGCACAGGGTGCCTCTGCCTTCAGGGGATGATGCTTCAGACCTAACCTAACTGGAACTGCCATTAAATTGCCATGCTGCCACAGTGCCTGGAAATCATAGGTACATAACCAAACAGCAACCCAAGTGGGCTTCTGGTGGAGAACAGGTAAAAACAATGTGCAAAATATGGTGATGTACTTGTCAGCACATACCTGTGAGGATGCTCTGCACTGAGAAGTGATTGAAGACAGAGTGAAGGGAGAATGTTAACTGCACATCCCAAGGCACATTGTCACAGTGATGGATTAATTGGGAAAGAAAAGAGACACTATTTTCTTTCCATTCATCAGGTGTCATACAGGCCACCCTAAAAGATGAGATATCTCTGTGGATGAACAGCAGCTTAGAGCAGTCTGAGGGAAGGAAGCAAGGAAGCTTTCTAGTTTTTTGGGGTTTGTTTTTTTTTTGCTTTATCACAACCAAATAAAACAGACAGTAGTGTCTGGTTGTGAGCTGTGGTGCTTCTAGAAAATGTCATCAGTTTCTCAATTTGATATCTAAAAGAAAATTTAGAAAACAATTTTGAAAACTGTTTTTTAGCAATGTCCACTGCAGTTTTTATAAATGTATTTACTGACCCTAGAAATATACCCACCAGCACAGGTGCAGACCAATCAAAACAATCATTTAGGTCATCTTTTTTTTTTTTTTTTCTGTTGAAGCATGTTGTACACTATTTCACACTCTGTCCACACAGGGATAGCCAGTAAATTTTCTATCAATGTGATACGTTTTGGTTGATTAACATGTCAGAGATAACACAAACACTTGGTTTGTTTTTGACAGGTGGTTACGGACCATTTCTATCATTTTATTCTTGAATAAACAGGACATGCTGGCTGAAAAAGTCTTGGCAGGGAAATCAAAAATTGAAGATTACTTTCCTGAATACGCGCATTATACTGTACCTGAGGATGGTAAGGTTTTTCCCCATGCTGGGATTGGACCTGCTGGCATGGCCCAGCCCATAGCTCTTCTCTCTGTCTCTTTGTCTCTCACACACACATTCACAAGCACACACTGTTCCTTGACATGAACTGCTGGTCAGGTAACTCACAAGCACTCTGGTGTGGGTAGGGCCTGAAGGGGCTCTGACTCCACAGCACCTGGCCTCCCTTTTTGGGAGGAACCACCAGCCCCAGAAGAGCAAAGCAGCTACAAGTCTTCCCCCTTCCCAGAGGCTGCTGCCTGGGCCTCCCACAGAGCTGAACTTTGTTGGGGATTCATGAGATTTATTTTGTAGCCATTCTGCATCCTCCAACACTGTAAATTTCAATTTTTGAAATACTGATGGGAAGCCCAGCAGACCAGTAAGAGAACTTTAATGGAGGAAAGCCACAACACTTTGTGTTGTGTGATAGGAAGAGAGCTGTGGTGATGGAGTGACCAGTCTCTTATCTTCAAGAAGTGCAACAGTTCCTGCACCACGGTAACATTTTGCAGAGGTAAACTGATGTTATGCCAGGTGTATATCAGGCAGAGAGCTCCCCAAAGGTCTCAGGTCTGTCTAGCAAAAGTGGTGACCACTCATCACTACCTTACCTGCGTGATGTCCCTGGCATGGTGCTTGAAGCCACCTGATGGAAAAGGCTTTCATTCTCCACCAACCACCACCAACAGCCTTGGTTACAGAGGTGAAGGTGGTGATGAGCAATTTCCAGCCTTCATCGAAGTGTGGAACTTCGTGAGTGTGATTCTGAGTTTCAGGTGCAGAAAAGATAAATGAACTGTCCTAAAATCTGAGTTGATCTGGCATCTGTTTTATAATGCTAAGGGCTTTCTGAAGAAATCTTATCTCCATCACCCAAATTTCCCCTTCTTAAACATACACCACACAGACAGAATTTGAGTGCATTTTCAGTATTTTTTTAGAATAAGCCAATTGTCAGAAGAAAGTAGCATTTGATATTTCTCAGAGAGATTTCACAGTGGGTATCTAGAGTGCTCCAGAATATTCACACATGAAGCAGTTCTCTATTTTTAACCTGTAGTTGTTCACTTATTTTTCATTTTCATCTGACATTATTTAAGGGCAGCACTGAATTCCAATATGCTGTTGATTGTGATGCTGCTCTATTTTTACCCCCAGCACTATGGAAAAAAAAAATACATTTCCATATTATGATAAATTGTGCCCTAAACAATATTATGTTTATAAGCATCTGATTTTGGTATCCTAGATGAGAGATAACACTGAAAGGAAATAAATAGGTTATCTCTTCACTACATTGTTGTTTTACACTGAGAATAAATAGTCATTGTGTGGCCTTAGTGACAGCTTGATGTGCCAACAGTTAATACTGACCAACAAGTTTCCTGATCAACAAGAATTTAATCCAAGACTCCTTGATGGACAGTATAGCTGAAGGATTCTGCTGAACTGGGGCCTGGAAATAAAATACATTTATATACATATATCAAAAAGCATTTCAATGCTATGATTTTTTACAAGTGTAATCTTGAACTAACAATTTTTAAACACACATCCCTGCCTGCAGAAGCTTTTTTCCGGAGACGCTGTTCTGCTGCAGAAACTGAGCAGCTCAGCTGCTTTTTCTAGTCATCTTTTCTGATAAAAGCTAAACCCTAACTCCCACTTGTTTTATATCTATATGAACAAACTTGTGGATGTGAGTAAGCCTTTTTGTGATATGACCAATGACATTGTTGCAATGATTTCAGCAATTTTCAGGTTCCTAAAATACGTTGTATGCATAGAGAGGTTTTACAGTACTCTTCATTTTAGAATTCCCTACTGGGAATCTCCTCTAGTATTTAACATTTCAATTTCTGTACTGAAGGGCTACTTCCTCCTTATTAAGTCTTTTGTTACAAATAGATGATTTTTTGGTTTTTGTGTTTCTGATGTCATTTGTTTTTAATTGAACAGCAATACCAGATGCAGGAGAAGACCCCAAAGTCACAAGAGCCAAGTTCTTCATCCGGGATGAGTTTTTAGTGAGTAATTTTCATCTTATGTGTGATTCTATCATAGGAAATACTGACAGATGGCATAGTTTATTTAGGGAAAACTGATGGGGTTCTGCAGAAAGCTAGAAGGAGAGGACAACGTCTGGCAATTCCCTAATTCTTTTCAGCTGCCTGTCTTGCAGAGCCTTCCTCAGTGCTGCACATTTTTATGCCCATTTTTTATGAAGTCACCTGCCATGCAAACTGTCACACAGGAAGTGCTAGTGCTTGGAATGTACATGTACAGTCCATCCATAGACAAATAGGCTTTCTTATTTCTATCCTGCATTCCTTCAAGGAGTTTGGCAGTAGTCAGCTGACAGCAGGAACTGGGGGGGAAAAAAAAAAAAAGGCTGGCCTATTTTATGATTTTATGGTTAAATAAGATTTCTGGTATGCCAGTTAGGAGGTTTGCCTCACCTTTGGACTGGTGTCATGGCCCTGCTGAACCATCATAAGGAAGTTTCTTTGTCTAGTCACATTTTTTTTGCAATTGAGGTTTCCTCTATGGAGGAAGTGAAGAGGTGGTGTTTACATTTTGAAGGTGAAAGCAGTTGTCAGGCACACAATCACAGCCCAGCTCTGCTGTCAGAAACAGAGAGTTTAATCCAGTATCACTTGTGGCTTCACTCAATCTGAGTTGTTTCCACAGTGCAGAGCAGTAACAGAGACCAGAACCAAAGCTCATCCATCATGCCCTATTGGTAGAAACCATATGTGTGTGTTTGAGATAACAAATTGAGTTGTTAGAATTACAGATTTTAAAGTCATGATGTGTTTACGAGCATTGTTAGGATTTACAGCTGCTGACACACCAAAAAAGAATCAATTAACTGTATTCACACTTGGGGATTTCCAGTTGCCACCTTAGCCTTCTGGATCCCGAGGAGAAATGTCAGATTGCACTGTGTTAACGTAAGAGTTACCAAAAAACTCACTTCAAGGCAGATCTCTCCTGTGGTAATGCTGGGATCCTGTCAAGCAGGTGATGATATCCAGTCTGGAAGGAGAGTAGCTCTGAGAGATGAGTTATGGGGAAATTAGGGTGAAACTCCCTACCTTTATCTATTTTCATGATTTAGAAAAACACATCAAGGGCGAGGTCCTTACCTGCCATGACTGGCATTACGGAAGGCGGCCACCTACGAAGCGGGGAGGGGGCGTAGGCACTGCAGCCACGTAAGAAACTCCTGTGGGTGCTGGGGGCACGGCTCTTGTGCTGGGGCCAGCACCTGCCAGCTGCCAGGCACTCCTTGGGGCTTGCCAGGCATGGGGCCAGAGGAACTTCTCCCTCATTTCCCTGCAACTACTGCAGGTTTGGCAGAGTATCTCCTCTGTAACACATCTGTCTCCTGGCTTTGTGCTCTGAGTAACGTGGCCATGCCTGGACAGGGTGGGGTGGGAGAATGCCAAGTAGAAATAATCACTTCCAGTTCCATGGGGTCAGGCACAAAAGGCTGAGGTTTCAGAGAGGGAGTGATAAAGGCCACAGGAGAAATACAGACTGGCAGGGATCAGATGGCATTAGCCAGGTGCCAGGAACAAAAGGCCTACATTTTCTACCTGTGTCTGCTTTGGCTTTGCTTTATACTTTCTTTCCCAAGTTTCTTGATCTGTGATATTTTCCTTGCCCCACTCTGTTTAATTTTCAGGAATGATTCAGAGAAACCTGTGTTTATTATGCTTTATTGTGATTTTTTGAATGGTATCAGGTTTGCATAAACCATGGAGATGCATAACAATCACCACCATGGTGCTGCACCCCTTAAAACTGCCTGGCTGTAGGAATGGTAGTGGCAAATTTAAAGCCTGTAATTTGAAGAATTTTAGTTGGAGGTTAAAATTGACCATGTTTCCAATAACTATTGCTGTGCAGTAGTATACGAGGATTAGAAAGGCAAGAGATGTCACTCATGGTTTTAGGGTTGGTGTGGGGGCTGTGGCCCCTCAGTGTTGGGCAGCAGGGCTGGAATCCATCCAATTTCAGTCAGGGAGCAGCGTGGGAGGGATGTCTGGGCCCAAGCCCAGCCAGTGCCTGCACCTCAGGGCTGGGCTGGCAAGGGCATCTCCCAGTCCTGGAAAACTATCTTGTGGGAAATCCTCTGCTCTTCAGCTCAGGCACATCCTTTCTCCTCCCAGACTCTTCCTGGAGGCAGTGTGTGTATGCACTCCTCAGTGAGGCTGCTCCCCAGCCCTGTTTTGGTGTTTTGCACACAGGGCTCTCCAGCTGCTGATGTTTTGTTTGAGTACATCCCCACTGTGACCCCAGTCAGAACAGTGGCATGGTCCCTCTGGTTCCTGTCCTGCTGCTTTTTACAAAACCTGAATCTGGGAGGTGAAGGAGCTGCTGTTCAAATACACAGACCAGGCTTCCTCAAATTTACATGTCATCCTGACCCCTGCAGTGTAGAAATGCCAGTATGAAATATTCCCACCTGGAAAGCAAATGTTCTTTCATCAGTGTCCCAGGGGAATTTTTTTCCCCTGTGAACTTGTGTTAACTAACATACTGCTATTCAAAGTGAGTTTCGAGTTGGGGTGACAATTCTGCATTTATCTTCAAATGAGAGGACTGCAAGAGCTGTCAGGTGACAAAAACAGACAAGCCCCCAAATATTTTGAAAATATATCCTTTGGCATGCTGTGTATGTAACCAGGACCCTGTGGGCAGCTTATTGCCATAGACATGAGTGAAATCAGTCCATGATAAACACAAGCAGACAATTATCAGTATTTTTCATGAGGGCAAGCCTTGAACTAGATATTGAAAGTAGCATGATAAGAAAATAATTTTTAGACTGTGTATGAACACCCCTGCATAATCAGTGTTGAATGTGTAATATTACCTAAATTACCTGGAAAAAATCTGCAATTTTTTGTTGATCTAATTATGTAAATTATGGCTCCTAAATGTCTATAGTTTTGCATATTTGTAGCCACAGGTGTTGAAAAGGTCAAACCTGTGTAAACCGTGTAAAATAAATCCTGTGTTAAAAATATACAGTGTAGCCAGAGTGAGATAGAACACTGTCTTTTGTTGTTTAGCAAGAGTAATTTACAATAAAATTTAGAAAATAGTTATAAAAATTATTATCCTAAAAACTGAGCTTCATGACATTTCATTTATATTCTGCAAAATAATGATCTAGAATGGATTTCTATTTGTCAGTCCTTTAGTAATACAGAACAAAAATTAAGATTTTTTTTTTTAATATGTTTTAAGACCTTGGGGAATTTTAATAAGAAAACCATGGGCAAAATGATGCTGGAGCTTCAAGTTAGAACCTAAAAAGTTGTGCTGTAGTCTTGAAAAAATGTAATTGCATATGGTCTGATATTTACTGGATTTGTCAATGCTTTATTACTCTAAGTGAACTCACCCTCTCTGGTGATAACTCCCCTAAATTCTGGGCATAATGATGATACCAAGCCTTCAGCTGGCTTAATAGGTGCTCTAAACGAAGGTAACTTTAGGGGCCCTCACACAAGAAGCAGAAACAGTAGAATGCTGTTCTCTGTCACTGCTGGCTCCATAACTGAGAGGGTTTTGGTTTTGTGTTGCTGATTTAAAACAAGAGTTCAAGAATTTGCCACATGATGGCACCAAAAAAAGAGAAAACAATTCCTGGGGCAGCTGCATGGCAGGCTGCACAGCTGTCAGCAGCACAGATTTGGCTGCACAGTGATGGCAAATGGTGAGAGCCTGTGCAGCTGAGGTGGCTCCCGCAAAGGACTCCTGTCCTGACCCCGTAACAGTATCCATAATGTTTCATAATCTTCATTTCAAATTTGTCATTCAGACTGACCAGACCACAGCCCTCCCTTCTTTTTATTTACTTTTTTTAGTGATCTGCATACAGATTTCCCAGGGTTCTTGGCTCCCCGCAAGTCTGTAGACTGCTGAGATGTGAAATTTCTCATGGCATGGCACCTGATCCTTTCTTTTTTGCCTCCCTCTTTCCGCAGAGGATAAGTACGGCGAGTGGAGACGGCCGGCATTACTGCTACCCACACTTCACATGTGCAGTGGACACAGAAAACATCCGCAGAGTGTTCAACGACTGTCGAGACATCATTCAGAGGATGCACCTCCGCCAGTACGAACTCTTGTGAGGGGGATCACCGTGGAACCTGTGGTTTTAAATTCTTTGCTCCTTACTCTTTCTCTTGATACTACCCCACACAGGGTGGAAGAATATACTATAGAAATGTCAGTCTCTTCACTTTGTTTACTTTGAATTGTTTAACCTTAAAGCTGATTTGAAGGAAGTTTGGGTTATTTTCCCTTCATGCTTTTTGGGACTATTTTTGTGCTTTATTTTGACATGCCACTTCTTCGTCATTCCACTAAGCCCTTTGGCTACCTCTGTTCCCTTAGGTTTTGTTTTTTTTAAACTGAACGTGACCCGCTAAATTTTTTCCAGCGGGTTAACCTCAGTTCAGACCGGTATGTCAGCTGGATGACACTGAAGTCATACCTATCCCTCTGTGTGGGTATCCTTTTTAACATGACATTGAAGAGTACTTGATGGGTGAAAAAAAGATTAATGCACTTTGTATCAGGTTATTAAATACTGTTGAGGAAGTAGACACACAATGTAGCAGCACCACAATATTTATTACTCTGTCACAGTTTTTAGCATTTCTGAGTTGCAGGTCAACTGATAAAGTGACCTCCTCTTTTAAGCCGTTACTGGCACAGGAAGTAGAGTAGATAATGAGAGGAACAGTGAAGACAAAGCAATTTTTCTGGGGTTTTGGAGCTAAGTGTCTCTGCACACCTCAGGCATTTGAATTACAGCTACTTTTCAGCCTGTTGCATCTAGGCAGAAAATTTACCACCCTCACTTATGTTATTTGTGCTGTCCACAAATGATCCTTTTAGTTTTGATCATTCTTGGACAACAGTCCTCTCCCTATATATATTTTTTTGTTTTACTGCTGGTTTATTATATTGTACAGACTGTAAAATGTAATATTATTTTGTACAACTTTATTGAAGAAAAATACTTGTAGAAGATCTTTGTGCCTTGATTATGGCTGTACCTGTAAAATGAGCTAAGATGTAAGTATGTTTTTGATTGCGCTGTACAGCTTGATGTCAACCTTACCTGCAGCAGTGACTGGAGGTAAGAACTTTATCTGTAGAGTTTAGGGGTTTTTTTCTGGTTTATATAAAAATGCTCTTTAGTATAAAAATTATAAATTATGCAAATTAACCACTTACCTTTCCAAGTAAGGTATTACAGTCACCGGATGTTGCAGCAAACATGCCTTTTCTCTTCTGAAGTCTCAGCTTTAAAACATTGGAATTCATTCAAGTGTCCAAATTGCAACCTGGTGTTGTTTTAATGAGAAACAAGGAATTCTTTTCTTTTTCTTTTTTTTTTTTTTTCTTTTTTTTTTGTCCTTTATATTTAGAAAATATGTTTGGTAATTCTTTGGTCATTCAAAGAACTTCACAATTGCACAGACCGATTGTGAATGTGTAAAGCACCATTATATAGAGCTCTTCAATCTTTGTACCAACAGCGGCTTTCATTGTGCAAGTAAATAGCGAGAAAGACGATAAGAAAAAAAAAAAGGTGTATAAACCCTTGTGTCTGGCCTAAGAGAATTACAAGATGACATTTTTATTTCTCTTTTAATAAAGAGACACATTAGAAAATTATTTTATTTTAAATATTGTAGAATCAAAATGTGTGAATATTTCTCAAACTTGAATAATTTATGCAAATGACATTCTCAAAACAAGTTGTGGTACAGTACAATATATAAAAAGCAAGAATTGCTGTAGCAATAAGGCATGTCCTTTTTAGTAACTATAACACTGCTTTATATTTTATACATAGGTGTTTTATGTCTGTGACTATATACTTTTCCTGTGTCCAAGATAACCTGTACAAATGTCTAAAATTACAGTTGCAATAACAGAAACCTAGAGAAGTGTTAGACTACATTACTTTATAGAATGTTTTACCACACTTCGGACCATTCCCCCCCACTTCATTTTAAATTTAGGGAGACATGAAGAGCTAACACAGTCCCCACACCGGCATATAAATCAGCACATTTTATTAACTTTTTAATGTTTGTTATTAGTTATAAACCCCAGTCAATCATATTTTTAAAATCAGACCACAGTCCAATTGAGAACTTGTTTCCATTTGAATATAAAAGAATCCCATTTTAGATACTATAATATGACCATTTTCTCTTCCCAGAAATCTGTATGTTCAATTTAGTCGTATTTCCCAAAAAGTGAAAGGCTGGGCAGAATAAGCTAACAGTGAACAAAATTCCCAAAATTTTCTTATTTCTCATGCCAAAGAAAGTAATAGAATGAATAGCAAAAGACAGTAATTTTTTTTAAAACTAGCCCCAGTCCAGGAGTTCAGGTTAGAGCTCCCAACCTCTGCAGGAACATCAGCAGGAAAACTGGTCCTGGTGTGAAGTAGTCCCTCTGTTTTTCCTGGGGTGGACGGAGAGCAGCAGTAGGTTTGTCCCACCTTCCCCCACACACTGCAGACACTGAGCTCAGATTTTATCTTTGTGGCACAGCTGGTGGCCTCTGCCTCCCCACAGAGGAGCTAGTGCAGTTTAAAATGTGACACTACACTAAAGTCAACAGAACTTGTGGAATGTAAAAAAAGGCACATTCCTATCCCTGGCAGTAGACTGAGGGCTGAGGCATAGGATAATGTTACTGCAGCTGTATTTGACCTTCCTTCTTGCAGGAGATCAGCAACTGGAGGGCCCCTCACCACACAGATCTCTGGGATGCAATAGGGCCCTCTCTTTTTAAGCTCATCATAGCACATCTTTTTGAAAGCAGCAGCTTGAGGTGTCACCCTAATTTTTTGTTAAGCAGTTTTCAAGTGTTTCTCAGCAAACTGGATCCTCGAGCTTCTTCCCCTTGTTGTCTGGTAGATGGATAACTACAAATTGTAAGTCAGCTAACAATTTACTGTGTCAGGAACCAGAATATTTCTTGTCCCAAACCACAGTCCCTTACACACGACACCCTAAAAAGGTTACGGAAATCCGCATCTCTCAGTGCTGATGCATCCAGATTCTGCCTGACCCTAATAAACACAAGTATGACATTTGAAGGGCCATGCAGCAATAAAACAGAGAAACGTTTCCAGTTTGCAAGATTCAGCCTCCACCAGGGTAAGACACAAGTGCAGACAAGTGATGAGGCTATAGGATTTACATAATGTACAGTTACACTTTTAATATACATATTTGATACAAAAATTATAGCAGGAAAAGGACTCATTTGATTGTCGAATACAGTATTTTTGTACAGCATGAAACGTTCATTTCAGTTAATTATTTATCCTGTAGTAGTCATATCAGCTGTATAGGACTTCTATGGTATGTGTAAATGCAACCTGCCTTCAGACTAGCAATCAAATTAGGTCATTTGCTGGCATGAATATAGTCTGATGTTTGACTGTTCTCAGCTTTGGTATTTCAGTGACTGAATGCAGATGTCTGGCTCTTCATACTGCTTTATGCTTACTGATTAAACGCTGAGCAAAATAAAACGGTGGAGTGAGAAGCTGAACATGAGCTAGTACCAGGATCACAAGCAGAGCACCTGCTGCACAGTAGATAGTGAAGACTCTGCTCTCAAATGGAAGGAAGCATTTTTGGAGGGAGAAGTCAGTTGGTGTTATGCTGCCCTGGAAAAGAAATGAAGACTGTCACTTTGCTGTGTTACAGTGGATTCTGAATCAGGAGTGAACACCACAGCTGTCAAATCTCCAATTTCTAAATCCCTATGTTGGGTGGCAAGGGTTGGGGCCAGTTTCCTAGTACCAGTGCCTTCTCCAGGGGGCTGAAGAGTCTGTACCTTGTGGTGCTGGGCACTAACTGGAATATTCACCAACATTAGCCCAGAGGCCAATCTTCCCATCTAGCGTAAACAGAGAGCTGGGCTCCTCATCTGATTTGCCTTCAAGAGAAACCTAACTTTAGCTGCTGTAAATCCACCTGGAAGGAGCCTTCCCAGGCTAAAGTTAGGCTTTTGTGAATGTGCCCCTTCCTCCCCCAAGCCCTCCTCCTTACCCAGTACATGCTGCAAAAACACACGTTGGCTAATCCAAATTAGGAATAAGAACTTCAACAACAAAGAACTTTGTTGGGTTTTGGCTTGACTTGGCAGTTCAAATTAAAGTTTACAGTGGGTCGAGGCTGAGGAGTTAGAACTCTAGTGAAGAGGATGCAACTTCAATTAGCCAACCTCTTGTTTTGCAGTGAAGATGCACTGCCTGCCGTGTGCAGAGTGTGTGTGTTTGAAGGCAGCTACTCTCAGGAATGTGGAATAAACAGAACTACTTTCAACAACAAATACTAACAGTTGCATAAAATGAATTTAAACATATGGGTTATCTGTGTATTAAGCAGCCTAAACTCAACAGCAGTAAAACATACATAAAAGATTTCCCCCTCCAAGTCACAGACTACTCTGTAAACAGATTGTAGGTTTTGCTTCTTACTCCAAGTTTCTAAGAGTTCTGTTTTATTTTTGAACTGGGGAACTAATTGATTTACCTCTAAGGATATACTGAGCACTGGAACTGCCTGCACAAGCATAACCAACACACTGTATAAAATGTGAACTGGCAATGAGGAGGCAGACTGTGGGCACGTCACAAACACTTTCACTGCATTAATGCACGTCTGAAAACCATGATCACCGTGCAAAATTTGAGGTGGATACAGTCTTGTTTTCATAGTTGGTAAATCAGCCAAGCCAAACTGGTCTTTCTACTGTTCAGTGCACAATACTGATTATTTTTACAATTCAATAGTTTACAGTGCACCCTCTTTCTAAGAAAATGTACCCAGATACTAATTAGGTCTTTAACAGCATTGCTTTGTACCACACAGAACATGTGGCTCCCACAGATGTACTTTATAAAGTGGATGCAGTGTACTGAGTGGGTTGGGTGGGTAGGCAATTTTTTTTATTATTTTTTGTTTTTACAGGTAGAATCAGTTTTAAAATATAGCTGACTGCCATGTTGATTTATCTATGAAAGTTATCTGACAAAAATAAAAAAAAAATTAAAACTTACCATGATGAAACTAGGATTGTTTCTATTCCTCCAACTGAATGATGGGACGCTGATTTCTGGAATTTTCCCAGCATGCAGCACTTCACAAGCACTGTGAGTGTGCCCACTGAGAACCAAACGGGGCTGAAACCACCACAGAAGCTAGAACACAAAATGGTAAAGCAGAAAAATTAAGTCACAGCTAAAAAAGAAATTTAACTTAAAAACCCTTTTTTTTTTTTCCCTTTGAACAGAGTAAAATTATGCCGGTTCTCATATTCTTACAAAATGTTTTCTGTAAACTTCTGTTTTCCAGTAAGAAATCTGTTGGTCTTGCAATATCAATCACACCCATGTGGCCCTGATCCCAAGTACTGGACTTTTTTTTCCTTTTTTTCTGTTTTTCTTTTCCATAAAGATCAGAAGAACAAAGGCAACAGCATACTGTGGACATCACAAAGAGAAAAACTTCAGGTTTAGTAAAGCAATGCTATTTTCTTGTCCAAGGAAGAATCTTGTACTGGCAATCTGTGAGTGAAGACATTTATGCAGAAGGAAAGAAATAATGATCAGTAAGTTTTTAGGGGATACTTTAAATTTTCTTGTAGTTACTAATTCAGCAAAAGTGATGCTTTCAAAGTGTTGGAAAACTGTGGCTTCATACCATATGTGTCGTAGAGAAAGTACAGAAAGCTGAAGTGGAGGTAATGGCACCATAGAATTAAGAGTGCCAAGACTTAGCTGTACCTGGGAAACCTGGCAGGACCAAGGCCATGATGGTGAAGATCCTGAGGGGAGCATTTCTAACAGGCAGCCTCTCCCAGGCTTCATTAGACAGGAGCAGCTGTGCTCTGTCTGTCTCAGCCAACAGCCTTACCACAATTTTTTAATCTATTTATATCTACACTCATGTCCCCCTCTCACCCACCCACCACCACTCAAGTTCCCAGGAAATCAAACCTTTTGTGATGCCTCTTGAGACAGTACATCATACTTTTCTTTAAAGGGGATGTTTTTCTCCTCTGGAGTAGCAGAATCTTCTCCAGTGCATTCGGCATCACTTTTCCGATAGAGAGGGTAATGCTGGGAGTAATTAAAAGCAAGGATAAGTTGTTAATGATCCAACCTTCCCGGAACACTAATAAATCCACAAAAACAACACATCAATATGTTGCCTCACCGCACCTCTAACACACCTGTAAAAGGATGGGTTCTGAAGCTGGAAGCTTTTCCACATCACTGCATCTTTTGTTGGAATTATTTGGTTTCTGTGAACAAAATCAAGCATATAAGGGGTGAAGGCAATTAAACAATAGCTAGGTTTTAAGGGGTTAGGGAGGGTGAGGTTGTTGTTGGCTTAGGTTTTTTGTGAAGCAGTTTAGCTCAGATAATACTACCCATTGTATGAACTCCATGAACACCCATGTATCAACTCGTAAGAGTTTTACTGTGGACTGGTGAAACTCCCATTCTGTACACGCTGTAAATACAGCTGCACTCCTGACTGCAGAAAGCAGCAGCAGGAGCTCTGCACCAACAAGGCAAAGAAGTTTGAGGGCAGCCCAAGGGAGACAGAGTCTGTGAAGTTTTCCATTGGGAGCTGGTTTCCTGATTGACTGCCAGCCCAGTCAGTCATGCTGCCTGCTGTGCATCCAGTCAATGAAAAAGGGAAGAGGAAGGAAATACAAGGAGCAATTTGATATGATGAAAAAAATACAATTAAAACACTAGTAGGCTATGAGGAAAGGATTGTATAGAATCAGGAAACCAAAAGAACATGCTTGAAGGCCATAAAACAGAATAATATCCATAAATATAAATGCAGGATTGTGTATCTGGAGTCAAAGGGAAGGTTACAGAACTTCTGCCATTCCTTGGAATGGAGGAAATGACACTCTGCTGGCAGCACTAACAAGGAAGTTGACACCATTAGTGCAAAGCAACACTGTTAATAGTTAAGTAAACATGGTTAAGAGGGGTATGAGGGGGAGAAAGACTGGCTAAGAAGTTGCAATGTGAATTAGAAGCAGATTTTTTTTTTCAGGAGAGTCTGGTAGTATTCTGACTATGCTACAGTATCAGTATTCCCATTGTGGCAGAGGAGTCCCTAGCTGTAATCAGATCTTTAATAATCTCTTACCTGCTGGGAGCAATTCAGTTTGTGAGAAAGAGCCACAAGTTTTGCCTCTGTGGTGCGGCAGACAGCACAGCCATCACCCTCCATGGCTACACTGTTCACTAGGACAAAGCTGGAAAATACAAGGGGGTGGGCAAAGAGAAGTGGGGAGGACAGGTTGGCATTTCATGCACACGTGTGGGATAAACTTCATTTTATAAAATGCAAAGTGTTCCTAAGCTTCACACAGCCCAACAAAGCAGCAGAATGTAACAGCTACTGAAATCATGTGCTATAAATCCTCCTCTGAGTATCTGTAGCACAGACATGCCTCTGCCTTGTTGGTGCCTTGATACAGTTATTAATTAGGTTGCACAATGTAGCTTATGCTTCCTGCTTACACTTCAAGACTTTTTTATCTTTTAATGGATACTTAAGTTGTATTCTAGTAGAACGTGAGAAGTTCATCACTTCTAACGAGTCACAGACTAAATTCTGAAGGAAAGGAGAACATGCTTCTCTCCCCACACAGTTTAGACCTCAGAGACAGAATCTGAGACACTGGATTTCTGCAGAACAGCACTACATTTGGGTGACTGCCCTGAAAAAGCTTAGTTTTGTACTTTGTGGTCTTTGACACACCAAACAGGATTTTATTCTTAATAGAAGGTTTCCCTGTAGATTTCAAATCAATTTCTGCCACAAGATTCATACCCATTTAGTCACACGTTCAGCTAGAGATACATTGCCAGTTCAATTCAGTCTGTTTAAAAGATAAAAATTAGCTGAATGCCTTCACTTAAAAGATACTAGCCAATAGTAAAGCAAAAATTAATTCTCTTTTAGCAAATTAAGCTGTTTTTATACCACAGACTTGTTGTAAAATAGTTTTTTTAGGAATATTTCATTAATAGTGCAGCTCATTACAGTTAATGGATACCAGACATGCAATTTGAAACTGCATGCAAGAATTCTGCTATGCTGTTTTAGCGAAGGAAACATGGAGATTTTCCTTAATAATTATTTTCTAAACAACTGAAATACATATCTTGAGGACCCCACATCTCCATGATAAACAACAGCTTTATACTGAGCATTCACAAAGCTCAGAGATCTTCCTAAAATAGACACAACCGTTTCCAGACCTGTTCAGAATTTTTAATTAAACATTTATAATGTGTGCTTAATTAAGGGAACCGGTGTAAACCTGTAGGTTTTGAATCTCACATTTCCACAAGTGAGTACAACCCAAGGGCACGCATGCCAAACATAGAGTGGCAATGGGCCTTCCCTTCCTGAATCTGAGACTTAAAACACCTTTCCACAAACCCAGTTTTGCGTTCCTTCATCAGGTTCCTGCACAGTGTCTGAAGGTAACAGAGCACACAGCAGACAACTGCAGCCACGGAGACGCAGCTGTGAGAACAAAGTGCACCGAGGTCTGCTCTGAGCCAAAACCAGCTTGAGCATTATTACCCCACCTTGTGGAAAAACCGCACACACGCAACTGCTGTGTTCCCCAATTCCTCTAACAAGGGTTAAGTTTCTACAGACTAAAGAAGTTATTAAAATTAATGAAACTCCTAATTTGTAAACACAGAGGGGGCTGCTTCACGTTTCTTCATCCTGCTGTGTTTACAGCCATGGCTCATTACCAGCTGTAAGGAAGTATAAAGGCACACCAGAGAAATGGATTCTGACTCCACAGTACTTTTCCATTTAAAAGGAAATTGTTATACTTTACACAGCTCTATGTATAACTTCCCGTCCAAATCAAACTACAGGTTTGTACAAAGTGGGGTTTAACACATCTTAAGGTAGGTGATTAAAAAAAAAAAAAAAAAAAGGCTCCAAGTGAAGCATATTCCCATACTATTAGAAAAAAAAAAATTAATTATACTCACTTTATTCCCTTCCGAGTTATCAGCTTTCCTGAAGTAAAGTTGAAAACCTTTTCAAATCGATTTACCTTGTAAGTAGTCATTCTGTGTCACAGAGCAAAAATACAGCTGAGGTAAGAAATTGCCATTGGAACTCAACTGACACAGTTGCTTTACAGTTTGCTGGCCATTCATGCAGCTTGCTGCTCCATTATCCAGCAATCATTTAGGAAATTCATAGGGATGCTCTGACACCCCTTGTGTCCTCCAGCCCCTCCCATCAGTGCAAGCACCAGCAGAGTGAGGGCACCTACACTCACTCTCCTGTGCTAAAGGGAGTGGAAATATGCTCAGGTGCCTTTCTGAGGAGGGGGCCCAACACAAGCAAAAGCAGCTTCAAGGATTCCATGTCAGTGCAGAAGGATCAGCTCTAAACAACCCTCACATTGTTGGAGAACCATAAACCTCACCCTAAATTACGACACTTTCTAATTTGATCATGATCAAAAAGTTTCCATATAACCACAAAACAGGTCCCTCAGACCCAGCACCAGTTCCTGTGGGCATGCTGACACTTCACTCTTGGCACTTGTGTACTCCTGTCACTGACAAGACTTACTCGTAATGAAATCCGATGTCGTGATTCCCAGCGATGACCACCAGCTCCGTATAAACTGAATGCCTGAACATTTTCCGAAACCTCCTGACATCATCTGCCCAGGCCTGCAGGAAAAAAACAGAAAAATGAATTAGTGCTGTTCCACAGCATCAAAGGTTTGCTAGTGGGTTTGCATGGCAAGGTTTTGGTACTGGGAGGGGCTGCAGGGGTGGTTTCTGTGGGAGCCTCCCCTGTATCCTACAGAGCTAATGCCAGCCAGCTCCAAGATGGACCCACCGCTGGCCAAGACTGATAGTACCTCTGGGATAACAGAATTAGGAAGGTGGCAGAAAAGGAAACTCTGCAACTGCAGCCAGAGAGAGGAGTGAGAATTTGTGACAGGAAGAACCCTGCAGACACCAAGGTCAGTAAAGGAGACAGGTCTTTTGTATTTTCTCTCCCCAGCTGAGGAGGGAAGTGATAGGGCAGCTTTGTTGGCCACTGGGCACCCAGCCAGGGTCAGCCCATTACAAGTGTACAGAAGCACAAACTCAGATGTTTATATTTTGTAATATAAAGTTTTATATGAGAAAAAACTGTCAAGGTACTTCCAAAAATGAAGGAGAATCACATCATTTCAACTCTTATCTGAAAACCTAGAAACTTCTACCAAGAGGACAACTGTAGCAGTATTAAACAAAGCCTTTCACACCTAATCTGCTTCCACTTCCTTCAAGAAATCCTCGTTTTTTGAAGTAAGAGAGCTGATGATGACATACCTGAGGTGAGCTCCATTTTCCTTCATCAAAAACATCTCCCAGAATAAAAACAATATCTGGCTGCAGTAACCATAAGGCAGTTTGGAAAGATCTCTCCATTTGCCATTCCCTGCAAGGAAAATACAGAACCCATTACCACTGCCTTACCTCTGGATCCTCAGCTCTGAATACACAGACATAGCTTGGAAATGAGAGTGGGAAACTGGCTCTTAGACACTGGAATATGAAAATATATTATGAAATTCAAATTAAACACTTAGAAATCAGGGGTAAGGACAACAGGTGCATCTTACCTGGTGGGTAATTCCACCATGATACAATCAGGAGCAAGACATGCAAGAAGTAATATCAGCTTGTTTATTTTTTCCTTACAAATCTAATGAATTGCTGTTTAATAGAGCAATGAATTATTGTCCCATTACCTACTACTAAAAATTCTAAAAACTGAGTAGAGATTATTGAAAAAAATTAATAATTACCTTCTTAGCTTATCCAGCCAATGTCCTTTGATTTCACCAAGTAGGTGTGTATCAGCTAAAATTATGGCCTTTAGGACTGAAGCTGAAGTCTCTTTTTCACTCATGTGAGCTGCACCTTTTACATCTGGCCATCGGCATTGAAATATTACCATATAGTAAATCAAAAATTCACAAAATATTAACACTGAGCTGACAAAGCACACAAGTTTCAGCAGAAAACAGAGCCTCCTCTTCAGAGGTAGATTCTTCACAGTAGTTGAGCTAGAACCCAGCATTGCAGTACCAGCATAAGACAACGGCTCAAGTCCTCCTCTCTTGGATAGAAACAGCTTGGGCTACTCAAAGGATCACGCTGGATTTTTTGTCAGTACAAAATCTCTGTGGAGAAAATAAGAAATAAAATATTCATTAAGTCAGCATTCTCTGTGGAAAGCTACTATGCAAGGCCTACAGTGTTAGCTTCTTGTCGCCCTGAAAGGCTTGGGACTATGTAATTGACTTTACACTTTAAGTTCTCCTCCAGGCACACAGACGGCCAGCTGAGCACAGAACTGCACTCACTCCCACCGGCACCAAGGAAAGCAGATTACAACCAGCCAGGATCTTGGTGCATGATGCTTTTTTAGACCTTTGCAGTGAAAACACTATGAGTGGGGGTCAAAGGTAGGTAAAGACAGAGCTTAGCTTGAGCAGCGACTGCAACAAAGAAAAAAGAAAATCCATTAGGATCCATACAGAATCACTGAGGTTGGAAAAGAACCCCAAGACTGAGTCCAGGCTTTAACCCTATGGCACTGCCAAGTCCACCATTAAACCATGTCACCTCGGTGCCAGATCTGTACATCTTTTAAATACCTGCAGGGATTGTGACTCCTCCACTTCCCTGGGCAGCCTTTTCCAATACAGGACAACTCCTCCACTGAAGCAATTTTTCCTAGCATCCAATCTAAACCTCCACTGACAAACTTGTGGCCACTTTCTCTTGTCCCATCATTTATTTTTGGGAGAATAGACCAACACCCCCCTGGCTACAGCCTAATCCCAAGTACTTGTAGAGAGCAATAAGGTCTCCCCTCAGCTTTCTTTTCTCCAGGCTAAACAACTCCCAGAGGATATCTTCCAGCACAAGTAGAGAACATGACTACACCAAATCAATAGCATTACCACCTTTAATGTGGTTTGTTGTAATCTCCAAAAACCATGGGCAATTCACTATCCCAGAACAAGTTTACAGGAGGTTTCCAGGGACACGGGCATAGATACACAGGTAATTAACTTATGCTTCTTCATTTCTGACAAGAGGAAAGCGAGAAACACCTAGCCTCAGAAAAAATAAACTTCACTGCGCTGTAGAGAAACAGTAACTGAGCCCAAACTGGTGAGGTAACTGTATTTACTGCTTTCTGCTGCCTTGGATACCTTGTAACCTAAACAGGGACTTTACCCCTTTTGAAACTCAGTATTTTTTTCTGGTTTTCCACAGCCCTTGGAAGAAACACTTCTTCAGGGTAAGTGCCCGCAAGAAAGTTTCCGAGCTGAGAGAACAGGGACATCAGCCCTTACACTCCAATGAAATCCCTCACTCTCCAGGTCCAGCCTCTCAGGGTCTCAGTCCAAAGGGCACTGCAGGTTTGAAAGCCCGGCTCCTTAAAGGTAAACACTGTAGCATGGTTACAGTAAAGGGACTCCAGGGGACCTAGAGAGATGTTGTTTCACAGACTCAGAACAACTTCCAGAGAAATACACAATATGTGCCGCCCCCACCCAACGATAGGACTGCAATTTTGCTTTCTACAACAGAAAAATTCTCATTTAGGACTAATATCCACCACGTGAGCAATTACAGAACACAGTATTCAGTGATTAGCAGACCAAGTCTGAATTAGCTAAATCTGACTATAGGTGTGAATATTTGGTACCTTTGAAAATTTATACTCCAAATACAAGGAAAATTGGGAGAAAATTACAAAACCACAAAAAATTACTGGATTGTTTCTAAAATCCTGGCCTCAGTTATATGCAGAACACAAAACAAAGTTAAATTGCTTCTCTGTCCTATGAACTAGCCCATTTGATTTATGTCTCATGGAAAGTGAATGCTGATGATTATTCTATTATGTTTCCAACCAAAACCCCTATTTGATAATAGCCACTTACTTTCAAACACAAGCTTCCTATATCAGCACTACAAAGTATTTATTTGAGACAAAGAACCATTAACCTGCACCATGAAACATTTCTAATATGCATTATCAAACAGTAGCATGATTAATACTTAATTGCATGGAATTCAGTTCTACCTAACCTTGGTTTAGCAGGAAAAAGTCACTGGCCAAATGTCACAATTGCACAACGTGTGGAACTACACATATAGACTGATTAACCTGTTTAATACACATCTCACCTGCACTTTAACTAGCAAAAAGATTAACACCTTGCTTGAACATCTCACAAGGAGGCAAGATCAAAGCAGAGGTATCTGCTAACTGGTACAGCAACAAGGACAAAAAGACAGGCAAATTCTTATCCAAAGAATATTATCTACAAATGTATTTTTATGGTTTTATCCTGCAAATTAGGAAATAGTACTTATTTGGATTTAGACTTTGGTAGTCTGAGACAGTCCGCTCTTCCAACAAAAACAGTATTCATTTGAACAAGAAATGCCAGTAAATCATTTAACTTGAATTAGCCATGTCCAGAAAATAAATAAATAAATGAAAAACACATCTTCAAGAGCAATCTGACACTGCCAATTTAAAAAAAAAAAAAAAAATCAAAAAACAAAAACCAAAAAAAAACACCACCAACAAACCAAACCTGCAATCAGTAGAAAATAAAAATATCTTCAAGGCAAAACTTCCATTTTCAAAAGTCACAAGCAGCAACAGACACAATCAATGCCACAGAGCCTGTCACTTCCACAAACATTCCTCCGGCGTTTCTGCTGCTAAATGTTACTGTTTGGGGAGTTGTGCTGCAAGCACGGAAGTTGCCAGAGATGCTCCATCCGCACCCTACACCGCCAGCATTCCTCATACTGAAAGGAAAAGCGGAAAGGGAAATAAGGAAAAAAAACCCAACCCAACCTCATAGAAAGTCAGCGATGCAGATCGAGCTGAAAAACAGCTCCTACTACTGGCTGAGAGAAATCCCTGCCCACCTCGCTCTGCCACCTCCCATCCCAGTCCATCCCAGTCCATCCCAGCCCACCTCCGCTGGGCTGCACAGCCGCTGCTGCCTGGAGCTGTGGCTCCGCACGTCGCTGCACAGCGCCTTGCTGCTGCTCCCCCTCACCACGGCTCATTATTCTCACTAGAGCAGATTCCTTCACCAGAGCTGGGAGACCTTGGTTATGAGGAAGGACTGAAGGATTCCTCACTATTTCTTGTTCTGCACGACATTTAAAAATCAGTAAGTGGACAAGGACAATTACTGAATCATTTAACAACGGGACCAAAGTTTAAACACGCTGGAAGTGTAACCTTACACCACAACACTGGGGAGAAAGGCTCCAGTGACTGGCACTGCTTCCTTCTCCAGCACTCATGTTTATTTTACTTATTAACAAATGTTACAAATATTTTTGCACTTACAATTTCCTGTTATACGTTTCCTCCTTATTTTCTTCCATCAAGTTTATTGGCAATGCAGACCTGCATCGCTCCTCTTCTGTTTCCCTTTTCTATCTCTTGTTCAGAACATTATCCAGCTTTAATTTACAAGTGAGCCATGAAACAAGGGAATGCAGTGGTCTATAGCCAGAGCAGGCACAAGGAGTTCTGGAGCTTTCCCTAGCACTTACTGAATATGCAACTCTGAGCACCCCACATGCTTTGAGGCAAATTTCTTTGTTAAATTACAGCTGCATAAAACTGTCCTAATAAACCAAGTGGGACACAAGAGTCTTAATTCTGCTCCTAGTCCCATCCCTCAAGAGTGTCCATGTATTTTTATAGAGCTAAAGAAGCTGTATTGGGTTATAAGCAAGCTGTGTCTTTCTAAGCAGTTTTCACTCAACTCTCCCATTACAATGTCACAAAGGTAGATTTACACCTTTCAGAAAATTACACTTCTGTAATGTAACCATGTTCATCTTTCATGGCCTTTTCATTCCCAGCTCACTTTCCTGTTTTTGCCTTGTGGACTGTGACTTTCTGCACTCCCACTTTCCTTTTCAGCTCTTCAAATACCAGAGTTCTTCGAGTACCTCACTCTTGAATCAATAAAGAGCTTCTGATGAATTCTTCTTTTGATGACGCAAAATGCTCTGAATACACTTTCCAATTCTGAACACTAAATCCTTCCTTCATCAAAAATTTTTCACTTATTATTGGGATTAAAGAAAAAATCCAAGCAGAGATTTCGCATTTTTCTTTCAAGAAACCCCTCTGCAATAATTTAATGATAGAATTAATCTCTGTTTGCATTAGCACATCCTTAGGGCTGAAATTCACAGACTGATAAATCTACACAGACAATTTGATTTCATGTAGCTTATAGAAAAGGATAAATTGGGAAATTCTGCAAAATTAAACAATTTTATTGTATTCCCATAAACACTCACAACCAGAGTATATTCTGCAAGTGTGAAAGAGATGCATTTGAACCTTAGTTGAAGTTATGCAGATCACAGTTTATTTAAAAATATATAAACAAAAAAAAAAAAAATCAAGGTCACAAAATACAACATTTCCAAGCACTTGTTATATTGAGATCACATTACTGAATCTATATTATCAAACTGTGGTTTTTACCACTTAAGCAATGGTAGGTTTAAATGTTGCAGTAAGTATAAAAAATATGTGGAAAAATCTACCTGGCATTAAATTAGCCGGTAGTTACAAATGTGCTGTAAAAGGAAGTCCATATATTACACTTATTTGTTTCAAGCACTTTTCATACTCATTGTTCAGTTTCATAGATTCCTGTACAGCATGTTTTAAATCTTCCACCTCTTCAAAAAAATCCTAGAAAAACCCAGAAATATTCATCTTAAGTTTTTTTTCAAAGGCATTCTCAGTAAAAGCTAGTCAGCAGTTCAGTTACTCCCGAGTTCAAAGTCACTTCCTATATTTTTGTCAGTGTAAGGCTGAGTTATGCAAACACAGCTGTGGCCAGATACAGTAATCAACTACAACCTTAGGTAATAATTTAATAATTTCTTCTCTGAACACACAAGCAGTGTTCAAGTTATGTTAGAGGATGGAATACAGACTAATAATAGGAATAATGAATTTTAAAAAGGCAAAAATATGGATTTACCACACAGCTACAAAATGACAGTCCAATATGACAAGGGAAAAATGTCACATCCTGATCCTTTGTAAGTGAAGTCAGAAATTGTTGAGAAATATATGGACAGAAGAGTATAACCACCCAGACTTCATTTCACCAATCCTTGAATGTTTTAGCTACCAAAATAACAATGTATCTCGCTATAATCATCTATATTTGACATTCTCCTCCCTATTCATCCAGCATTTTTTAAATGCACAGCTACATACATACAACATACAGTGACTTAAAACTACCTTAAAAAGGGAACACTGATAAAGAGCTGCAATCTCAGGTTTCTGTATCTCTCTCCTGCAAGACGAAGCTGTCAGCCACACACTGTCCCTGATTCCCAAACACAGGGATCTCACACTGGCTTAATGCTACAAGTTACACATCCAATGAACTATCACCCTCTTTTACTGTTACCCTGGAATTAATACCAAAATGTTATTTGGTTTTGGAGAAATGACTGTAAGGTAAGAAAAGAGATTCTTAAAAGAAAAAAGAAAAAAAAAAAAGACAAGGAACAGGCAAAAATCACTTTAAACAATTTGTTGCTGAAAATAAAATCTTATGTCAGTACATTCAACTGCATCTTCTACAGTTAGGTAAGATCTCATCATCTTGTTACATAACTTTAAGAATTACCAAATGTTCAGATTTTCACTTTTTACACCTATAGATCTAACAAAAAATTCAAAGCCTCTGCCCTCCCTAAACTTGTAGTTCTGTCAAAGGCATAACTTTGACATGTTTAAGTTCAAGGGAAAATAGTCTTCCTTAGCTGAGCAGCCCTTTAGGACATGAATGCTTAAAGAAGTCTTTCATTTCCATCTCTCTCAGAATACTATACACTGTTTTTTTATGTGTTTTATGTATTATGTATTTTTTGATAACAACATATGTTCAGCCTAAAGAAGTTTCAGCTCAGGCAAAAAAGTTAGTTTTTCAAAAATCACCTACTGTTAAGCTTGTCTTAAAATAAATTACCTTGTCTAATCCAGCTAATTCATTTTTTAGTGCTCTCTTTTCTGCAGACAACTTTCCATTTTCTTTCTTCAGCTTTTTAATCTCCTTCAACAATAGCTCTATATTCAAATGAAAAAATGTAGAGTTCAACCATTACAGTCAACCTCCCCCTCATATGAATCATATTACAGCTAAAAAGCTGCCTAGCTTTTGTGATATTAGAAAATTATAGTTCAGCTTCTTAAAGTACCTTTTTCATAGAGTGATTTAATCTTAAAAACTGGCCCAGCACATTCCCAGGTACTAGGAATGATAGCAGCATCTGCCAGTTGGACAATCTGAATCTGCCAGATTCTTAGAATGTGGGATTATTTTACTTTACAATCCACAAAACACACATCACATGCCTTTATTGCCTTTTTCTGGATTATGAGAGGGTCACATCAGCCCTTGCTGATAGCACATTTCCTGAAAATTATGCCTACATTATATGATCTCATCCATCTCTTTTCTATGCTTTGAAGTGGAAGATCACACCTTAAATTCTGAATTTAGTTATGTGAGGAAGAATGCACTGAAACCAGCACTGTCCAGGCTTGTCCAATGTTTTAAGGCAAAACCGGGTTATTCTGTATCTCAGTGTCTGAAAACCAAAGACTGGTGCAGCAAACATTATTACTAAGAGATCTGCACAGATACATCTCACTGGAATAAATACCAGCACTAAATACAGCCACGGACTCCCAACTCGGATTACAACAATGAACCAGTTTCAGAAAAAGAGAAAACAGCAAACATTTTATCACAAACAAATGCAAGGTGGAATCCTAGACTACAAAATGCCATTTTTACATGACAAGGTTTTCAAAAATAAAAAAAAAAAACCAACATTTTAGATACTGCTAGTTGAAGAAATAGCCTGGAGTGGCCTCTAGATCAGAAATGAAATGCATTCTCTCTGCTGGGTGTATTGGAAGGAACATTATCAGAATTACCTGTACCATTACCTAAATATCTACTGCAACAGGACTCCTTTGCAGAAATGTCCCTGTGAGAAATTACTCCTCCCTCTGGGGTTTGACTTCGTTTTCCAGAAACAGCATTAGTTTTCCAAGAAACCTTTTTATGTTCCAGTTTCTCAATTTTTTGCTTTTGCTCTTGAAGATTATGCTCTAGCTCATTAATTTTAATCTGTTGAGACAATTTTTTTTAAATGCATAGAAAAATCACAGTTCAACTGAATACAACTGGAAACATATTCCAAATGCAAACCTAGAGCTTTCAACTGCTGATTTAAAAACTACATTCACCCAAAAGGTCTGAAAGGAGAAAAAAAAAGCACAAATGAGGAAATTATACTGGTCAGCTGCAATGCTTGATCCATGCCTGAAGAGGCAACAGCCTCTTGAAACTTCTGCTCCTGGCCACACAACCCTACCTTCACTCCATTTATGATACCAGACTCTGCACAGCAGGGCCACAGACCTTGCTATCCAGAAGAAGATTCTTTGTCTTCATTTTGTTTGCCTTCTGCCGAATTGCTGAGAAAAATCAGCTCATGACACATGCAGAAAAACACTAGGGCTGGTGCAAAAGGTGCATATACAATTGGAAGGGGGTGTAGGTGGATGGGTAAAGAAAAAAGCAAGGAAAGGGGAGACAGCTTTCTGCTACAGACACACCAGTGATGAAGTTCACTTTTAAAGACAACTACAGGCTACCCTCCATTATCCCTGTCATGGAAAATTAAGTATAAAAAGTATGGTCTCAATTCACAAATGTAAGAATTACTCTTCAGTCTCCCTAAAAGCTTATGTTTGCCTGTTTGATACCAGCTCCTACAAATTCTACTTACAGTGAGATTTTTAATTGCTTCACTTTGCTCCTTGTTTATTTTGGTTTCTTTAACATAACGTTTCTGTAGCTCATTAAACATCTGAAGTAGTCTAAAACAGAAGAAATGCATAAATTGCTGTAAAACATGAAAGACAACAAAATGTAGCATAATTTATGGTAAAAGTATTAGAGATGCCCCACAGAGATCGCTTGGGCTGTAGCTGTGCTGCAGAGACTTGTAAAAGAAATATTCAAGATGGCAGTGAATGAAATGTGACTGTCAACAACAGAACATTACAATGAAATAACAGAAATAACAGCAAAGCAAGTTAAAAGAATGGTCTGTATGGATGGCAAAGAATCCTTTTTACTCAGCCAGACTGAGGACCCCGTTGTTTTTGTCCAGCACACAAGGCCACACTCTGATTAAACCTCGGTGCAAATCACTCTTTGAGGGAAGAGAGCAGTAACAGGAGGCTGGCAGTGACTTTGCAGCATGTCACATACATCATTCCTCTCCCCACTGGCACAACAGGAATAGCAAAAGGACACTCCTAAAGGATTTTTAAAAGTTTAAAAGCACCAATCAAGAACATATGATGAGGACACATGAGGCAGTTCCCCCCTCTATGTGTTGCACAAAACATCTCATTGCTTCCAAGTGTGTAGGTGTGAGGATATGAGTGAATGGAATCAATGTGAAAATGAGTGGGTAAAATAAATGTCAAATAAACAGATTGGGGCTGTTAACTTTCCCCCTGATGTTATTTTGCATCAAGTTCTGCTGTACTAATTTCCTACCATATTTCATAGCATTCAGCCAACATGCACGAGACCCACAATTTCACTGATGGACATGAGCAGACATTTTTCCTATTTTTTTTAGGAATCACAATAAGAGCTGCCATTCATAATAAGTCATAACTGCACACCACAAGCAGGATGAGCAATACTGCAGCACAGCACAGCTTTGTGAAAGAACATGCAAACAGATGCTAGAAAAAATAACTAGGTCAGGTTATCTACGTGCAATCTAACATAAGGCAGGTACAGAACTCAATTGAAAGACTAACTTGGACTTCTTCAACATGAGCACTTAACTAGGAACTCAGTTCGAGCCCAGAGCCAGTCACCTAGCCTTCCTATGTAGTTGCATAGCTTGCAGAGTCCAGCACACTGTATAGATATTTTAAAAATAAAACAAGATGTTCTACAGCCACCTAAAGGAAACACTAAAAACAGAGCACTTGGCCAAAGAGCAACAACAGAGGTCTGTGTAAGATCCACATTTATGTAAGTGGACAAAAAGCAGTCTTTGAAAGGATGAGCAGCCTAAAATTTTACAATTTTACAATCAAGTGATAGAGGGATGAAGCAATATTTTACATAGCTTGCCTAGTTGTTAAAATGTTTCATTATATTTTTTCTTAAAGACAAAATTTTAGCTTTTGCACCACAAAAGGAGTTAACAGAGTTTAATTCTATCACTTATTGGCAAACTACAGTAAGGAGTGGCTCAACTCTAAAATTATTACACTGAAAAGTAGAACTGCTTCCCTAGCTTATTTCAAAAACAGTACCAGCCTATAAATTTAATATGCACATAACACTGGGCAATATAAAATGAGCTAAGAAAGGTTCCACAAAATAGAAGATGAAACCACAAAATTCTAGGTTAAAAAATCTACAAAAAAGATCAAATGTGTGCACAGACACACGAAGGAGGTTCCTAGGTCGTTGAATTTTTCTCAATGAACTACTTGAGAAAGAAATCCATTTCATTCTTTGCTTGGTGCTATTTTCAAGTTCAAGCCAAGTTTCTGTAGTTATTTTTAAAATGTGAATGATTTCCCATTGTTTCAAAGGCTGAAAGCCACTTGCATAACAGCTTAAAAAAAATCAACTGACTTAACCATGAACATTTTCTACGCTACAGAGAAGAATAATTCTGTGAAGAAGCAGCTTTCAAGAACTCACCTGACACTGTCACTCTCTAGAACCAGATCCTTGCTGCCTCCACCCTTATGCCATAAATGGGTTTCTGTCTGAACTTGAACACTTAATTGAAACAAACACAATAGCTTCATAAAATCATATTTCACAAATTTAATTAATTAAACAAAGCAACAGAAAAAGACCAAGTAACTTTTCAGTTTGATTTTATCGTAGAGGTTTCCAGGCAGGATCATAAACACACCAAAACTTAAGCCTTGGAAGATTTTTGTGAACCGATACGTAAATCCTGGCAGGACACTCTCCAAACCACTAGCACTTCAGTTTTTCAGGTCCTTATGTTCTAAATCTTTTAAGCAGCATTGATGCTCCTCAACTTATCTTTATCTCACTACTTTTTGGTAGAAAAATAGTGTGAAAGCCTTCACAGTTTGACAGAGAGAGCATATTGGCTAAGCAGGAGTATACCTTTTTGTTATTAAAACTGTTTCTTTCACTGCAATACATTTTGTACAAGATGCCCCAGACACCCTTTGTTCTTTACAGGCCGCCAACATTTTCCACCCCACCATCCTGTTCACCCATGACTCCTTAAAATATACAGACAAGATAATGCCTAGCTCTTCTTAAGGACATGGGAACAAAAGTCTTAAAATGCTGCACTTCTTTTGATGTAAAAGAAATGTTTGACAATTCTTACTCTCTGCTTGTGCCACAGACATGCATTAACTGCTGCAGATGCAGTTGATCTTGAATCTGACCCAGATTCTTTTCTAGCTCCTTATTTTTTATATGTAGTTTTTTCACCTTCTTGACTAACTGCTCATTTTCATCAGTGAGCTGAAAAGGAAGATAATTGAAAAATGAAAAATCAAGGAATGCTTTCCAATCAAGTTAATTAAGCTGATAATGCTTCATATTAAAACCATGTCCCAAAATGTTTTTTCTTTCACATTTTTCCTAAACTATAGAAGTATCTAAAAGGAAAATGGCAGGAGAAACAACTGGCTTCAAATTTATGAACGCTTGACCACAACAAAGCTTCTTTACAAATATCTATTAAAGGTGTTTAATATAACTTCATAATTCATTACAGAACGTTTTGCATTTTAAATAATTCACAGAGGGACAAAGCATCCAAGTTATACTCCTAAACTACAAACATCAGCTCTGCAACTAAGCTGGTGTTTATTTTTTATTTAACCTCACCAGAGACAGAAAGACAGCCACACTGGCTGAACTTCTTGCATGCATGTTTGCTGGACCTTGCCCACCAGTATGCAGACATATATAGATATATATATATACACACATATATATATACACATATATATATATACACATATATATATGCACATATATATATATAAAAATATAAATATAAATGTATACTGTGTAGTACAGTAACATAAGGCAATATATAGCTATATATATCTTGTACATATAATATATAAAGCCATATACAAGGCAGTATATGATATATATAATACCTACAACTAAATACTTATAGTTTTAGATGTAGCATATATAACCATACAGTGGATGCATATATATATATCATAGATAAGTGCATGCAGGTACGTATATATGTGTATATATAAGTATGGACATATACCAAACTATTTACATATATACAAATATATTTTTATATATAGTTATATATATATATATTTCTTGTATATATTATAATATAATTATATATTATAACATATACTATAATGTGTGTATATATATAATATAGTAGTAGAAATTATATCTTCTATAACGTATATATGTAAAATATATATCATATATATATATGATATATATATATCATATATATATATGATATATATATAGATATATAGATATATATAATATATATATATATGAGAAACTATCTTGCCTTATCCTACAAGGTATTAAGTACATCCGAAGCCCTGGGCCAGCACCGAGGTCAGCACCGAGCCCCGCGTTG